CTCTTTGTGCTGCTTTATGCTACTTATATACGTGTGGATTTATTAAAGACTTTCATCTTCATCTTTGTGTTTATGTACTTTCTACAACATCAGAGCTGAGGGAAGCCCGTTTGACCAGGTGTGCGAACGGCTGTAGCATCCATCGACGCGGGAGTCCCAGTGGAGTTCGAGGGGATGGGAGCGAGCCGCCACTGAGAGTCTGGGCCGGATTATCCAATGGGCATTATGGGCACGGGGCCAGGGGCCTATGCGCATTTGGGGCCCAAGCGAAGGGAAGAACTTTTTTTTTTTTCATTTCCGATGACGAAGTGGCTCTAAGTGTAAATAGCCTGTCTTGTTGGCTAAAAGACAGTCCACTTAACATCTGCATTGGCGTAGGGATAGGGATTGTGGCACCTGCATGTATAGCTTTTGAGGTGTTCGACCCAAGTTCGAAATCGCCTTTTGCCCAACTCGCTCTTCTTCCTTTTCCCATCACATATCAGAGCGGAAAGACATTTACTTTCAATAAAAATTAAGAAAATATTTGAAAAGTGGAAATAAAGTGCCTAAAGACTGTTTATCGGTTAAGGTTGGTGTAGGAAGGACTGCATTCATTTAATAATTGTATTAAATATAGTCCTTTACGCTCTATGTTATTACTACATCCTGTTAATGTACAACAATACTGAGGTTACTGATCAAAATATAGTAAATCACCCTATGAAAGTAAATAAAAATTGTATCAAATACATGTTTACACCAGTAGGTGGCGACAAGTGACTGTTTTTGTTTTTGTCATTGAATCATTAAGAGATTTATTCAAAATCACTGATTCACCCAGTAATGAAGCAATTGATGTCTTTATGAGCGAGTCATTGAATAATTTATTCAAACTGATTTTTTATTATTATTATCAAATTAAATAAAAACCTACGTCCTCTTCGATGGTGCCTTTGTTGTGGCCTCGAAATGAGTAAAGACAGATATAATATCACAACACAAGTTTGTCTGTATTGTGTTATGTTGGAGTCATGACAGTGAATTTACTAATAATCTCATAATCCTCCAGTTGAGGTGATACGGTGTCCCCTGTCAGTCCGACATGGGGGACGTTGACACTACAGTTTGAAGTGGCACAGACTGGAGCTGAGAGCTGAGAGACTTAGACATGTGCCGGTATTCGGTAATGAGATAAATCCATAGACTGTAAAAAAATATGGACAAAGAAAGCGTCTGACGTCACCCATAGAGTCCAGAAGTTACTTCTCAATTGATTTATTGCCATTTGCTTTCTTTCTTCGTTATCCCAGTTCCTTACAATTGCTGCATATTGCTGGTGTCCACAATCAAACAAAGTTAACTTTACTAATACAAATCATTATAATAATAAGTATACATTCACATAACCATAAAGAAAGTCTTTAACCAAATTAAACAAATCAACAATAATCAAATTAATATCAATACAAAAGGTTTAAATAAACGTACAAAGTCATAGACGCAGCAGGCAGAGGAGCAAACAGTCAGCACAAAGAGAAACAGTGAGGTTGATTGGTAATTATCCTCAGGTGAAGAAAGTTCCAGGATGTGGGCGTGTCTCCCAATAGAGTGACTAATTGGGATTTTTAACAGCCGCCCCAAATATGACAACATATTTGTCCAAAGAAATCCCACTCATACAGTATGCTCAGTGGGAAAGGCAGGATGAACGGTTAATTGGCTAACTGGACGGATAAATTGTTTGCCATTTATGATGATCTCAGCCACTCGAATGCGGCCATCAGAACTGGGCAGAACCTTAGAGACTGTCCCTGTGGGCCAGGACCTACGAGGGAGCTGGGGATCCATCACCATGACCACAGCAGAAGGTGAGATAGAGGGACCATCCATTTTCCACTTCTGATGGGACTGAAGGCTTGGGAGATAATCCTTGATGAAGCTAACCCAGAACCTGTCAGCAAGGATCTGACTGTGTCTCCACTTCCGATGGGTCAAGAGCTCAGAGTCAGCATACATTACTTGTGGAAGGGACGCGTCTCGCCGCCCAAAATTTGGCGTTATCGGATCCGTGTCCGAGATGTTCGATGACACGTAGCCAAGGGGTTTTGAATTCATTATCTCTTCAACTTCTATAATTACAGTGTGGAGGACTTCCTCGGTCACAACTTGAGTTCCCAAAGTGACACGCAGGGCATTTTTAATAGACCTCACCTCACGTTCCCACGTTCCTCCAAAATGAGGAGCATGTGGCGGATTGAATGAGAACTTGATCTGCTGCTGTGCCAGTTTCTCTTGAAGTGGAGGGACAAGTAGAGCATAGGCCTCTCTGAGCTCCCTTTCGCCACCTCGGAAATTCGTGCCCTGGTCGGATATAAGTTCATGAGGACGTCCTCGCCGGGCTACGAATCGCCGAAGAGCTAGGAGCTCGGTCAGTGTCGAGACTAGACAGGAGCTCAAGATGGACACATCGGGTGGTTTGACATTTAAAAAGAATGCCCCATCTCTTCTCATGCCTTCGGCCTATCTTGATGGTGAAAGGGCCAAAATAGTCCATACCAGTTGACCAGAAGGGGGGCTTATGGAGACGGAGTTTAGAGGCAGGCAAGTCCGCCATGCGGGGAACAGAAGGAGAGCTTTTCCATTTCTTACAATCTACACATGTTTGCCGAACCCTCTTCACGGCTTGACGGCCACGTAAGACCCAGTATCTCCGCCGAAGATGGGCAAACACTCTTTGTGGCCCAGGGTGACGCAAAGAAGAATCAATTTCCACGATGATCAGTGAGGTAATATGATTCTTAGGGTCCAAAACAATGGGATGGATAATATCAGGCTCAAGATCCTCACTCTGACGGAGTCGGCCACCCACTCTAATCAATCCTGTAGCCGGGTCATATTCTGGGGCTAATTCAGCCAGGCGATTTTGAGGAGGGACATCTCGGCCACTTTGAAGTAGCCTATATTCTTCAGGGAAATCCTCTTTTTGGGCTTGACATATTAGATGGAGCTCTGGTTGAACATGTTGGGGCTTGGTGGAGTCCAGCTGTATACTCTCAGCAGTAGCATCAAGTAAAGCTGTCCAGGTGCTAAACTGGGAATAGTCAGATTTTAATAGGCTGTCAGTCTGCTGGACATGTCAGCAAGATGGCGCCTTTGAATTGGCTTATGTTGTCAATCTTAAAAAAAAAAAGAAAGAAAATGAATTGCTTTCCTTATCTACAGTTCTTTTGAGTTCACCTTCAAGAACACAAGTTTGGACAATGTCTGTGGCTTCAGACTCATGCGGTGGTTGCGGAGAAAACCCTCTCTGCGCTCGCAGACCCGCTTGGGATGCTGAACACAATGCGAGTTTCTTTAGCCAGGCGGGGAAAAGACGTGGAGTCAGACTCGTGGTGTGAGCGGAGCGGAGCGAAATTGGAGCGGGAAATAGGGCGACGCTAGCCTGGATGCCAGCCCGAACCCCGCCCACAACATTTTTTGGTCGGGAAGTTCGGTCTGGACTCGATCCATTGAGGAGTAATTATGATCAGTCAAAAAATGTTCGGGCCAATCAAATTGCCAGGGCGGGCTTTATACGATGATGGACAGATGATCTGCAGATACGTAATCCTCACGTCATCAAAGAGCGCTTGGGTTGAACTGGTTTCCCTCACAGATGACAGCCGCTGGAGAATTGAGATGTATAGATTCCACTATCGCGTCTGTCGTAAAAGAAATCGACAGGGCATTCATTTTAAAAGACGAACAGAGAACTGCAATCAAGGCATTTGTCGATCGTCAAGATGTGTTTGCCGTCCTTCCTACGGGATTCGGCAAAAGTTTAATTTATCAGCAGGCTCCGATGGTCGCAATATGGGACGCAATGAAAAGCCTGTTGTCATTGTTGTTTCTCCTTTGGTCGCACTCATGGAGGACCAAGTAAAAGAAGCAACCGAAATGGGCATCAGGGCGATGCAACTCATGTCAAAGCCATCGCTACATCAAACTAGATTAGATGATGTTACTCAATTCAGTTTATTTGCCAGACTTATGTCCAAAACCACGCAAGACAGAACAAATAAACAAGACAAAGTACAAGTACAAGAATTACTCATCATTTTGTATTTAAATCATCATTAAAACATCATTTTGGCTCCCGGTCTCTTTTCTCTGAAGACTCAAATGAACACGCTTCTTCAGCCTGGTGTCTTTCGTCGTCTCTCCATTTATTAAAATCAGTCAAGTCACGCTCCAACCCTGTTATAAAATTGAGACAGGTCAGACAAATGCGAGTAGATTTGTTGGCTTTACTGTCGAGATCTAATCCTAAACGGAGAACTTGTTCGTATATACATTCACATTTTCTATTTCGTTCAAAAATGTTTTTCGAGTTTGCAAGTACTTTGCAAATCCTTAAATTCTTTTTGCAACACCGGCAAAGGTCGTTAACGCTCATTTTTCTTTGAAATACTTTTTCGTGAGTGCGTGCAGTTCAGTTCTGTTGATATGAGTCGCTCAACATACATCACTTACTGCGTTGCTCTGATTGGTTGTAGGTCTATCCAATTGAGTGCAGAGGTTTTTTTTTTCCTGGTTCGATTAAGACACGCCTCATAATCAAAGCCCTATGGAGCAGTATCAGACTCACATTCTGACTAGAAGATGAGTATGACGAAGTCAGGCTAGGGCGACGCTCCGTCCTTTTAAAAATGCCGCTCTGTCCAATATCCGTCCAGTAGCGCTCCCGCTCCACTCCGCTCACATGCTCTGGCAGATACTCTAACAAAGAAATGCTTGTTCCCACATCATGATACAACTTGGTATGGTCAAACTTGAGCTACAAAGATGATGTAACATCCACTGACATTCTCTTCAGGAAATGTAGAACATCTTGGGTGCGTCTCAATCAGCTCCCTAGATCATGAATCAGTAGATTGTTTTAGGGAGCGAACGTTTCAGTGCACGAGAAGGATTTTGGGATTGAGACGGCCCTTAAAATGGATGACTCCCTGATTACTGAACTAGGGAGCCTTTTTCTACAAGCTGACAGTCTACAAATGTGTCTGTGGATGGCTGTTAATTCAAAAACCTGTTTTCCCTCTATTGAGCCTGTTCTGTTGAAATCCAACAAACCCTTGTGTGTGTTTGTGTGTGTTTCCCCCCCCAATATACAGGATTACAGGTCTTTCGGGTCTATTCCAATGCAGCCTCAGCAATGGAAGCAAAATTTTGCTGCTTTTTTAAGCAGTAACTTTCCATCGGTAAAAACCCTTTTCGATATATTTGAGTTTTTTTCTGGTTTATTGCCTTTATTGATATTTCCCAAGGAATTGATGACCTCTGTATGTGCACAGCAGGCCACCAGCTGCAGTAAGAGGCGTCAAGAGTCTGAATCCACACCCCAGAAGACAAAGAAATTGAGAACTAATTCAGAGCAAACGCACCAGGCATCGGATATGGAGATAGAGTCAGGTACACAGCTTCAATTTTGTTAAACACTGTCAGTTTTATTGAGTACAGATTGTTATACAGGAATACATACTTGACATGGCATCTTTGCAGTGAAACTATTTACTTAAAAAAAAAAACTTTTTTAAATGTATTATATATATACACTCACCGGCCACTTTATTAGGTACCCCATGCTAGTAACGGGTTGGACCCCCTTTTGCCTTCAGAACTGCCTCAATTCTTCGTGGCATAGTTTCAACAAGGTGCTGGAAGCATTCCTCAGGGAGTTTGGTCCATATTGACATGATGGCATCACACAGTTGCCGCAGATTTGTCGGCTGCACATCCATGATGCGAATCTCCCGTTCCACCACATCCCAAAGATGCTCTATTGGGTTGAGATCTGGTGACTGTGGAGGCCATTTTAGTACAGTGAACTCATTGTCATGTTCAAGAAACCAATTTGAAATGATTAGAGCTTTGTGACATGGTGGAAGTAGCCATCAGAGGATGGGTACATGGTGGCCATAAAGGGATGGACATGGTCAGAAACAATGCTCAGGTAGGCCGTGGCATTTAAACGATGCCCAATTGGCACTAAGGGGCCTAAAGTGTGCCAGGAAAACATCCCCCACACCATTACACCACCACCACCAGCCTGCACAGTGGTAACAAGGCATGATGGTTCCATGTTCTCATTCTGTTTACGCCAAATTCTGACTCTAACATCTGAATGTCTCAACAGAAATCGAGACTCATCAGACCAGGCAACATTTTTCCAGTCTTCAACTGTTCAATTTTGGTGAGCTCTTGCAAATTGTAGCCTCTTTTTCCTATTTGTAGTGGAGATGAGTGGTACCCGGTGGAGTCTTCTGCTGTTGTAGCCCATCCGCCTCAAGGTTGTGCGTGTTGTGGCTTCACAAATGCTTTGCTGCATACCTCGGTTGTAACGAGTGGTTATTTCAGTCACTGTTGCCCTTCTATCAGCTCGAACCAGTCTGGCCATTCTCCTCTGACCTCTGGCATCAACAAGGCATTTCCGCCCACAGAACTGCCGCTCACTGGATGTTTTTTCTTTTTCGGACCATTCTCTGTAAACCCTAGAGATGGTTGTGCGTGAAAATCCCAGTAGATTAGCAGTTTCTGAAATACTCAGACCAGCCCTTCTGGCACCAACAATCATGCCACGTTCAAAGTCACTCAAATCAACTTTCTTCCCCATACTGATGCTCGGTTTGAACTGCAGGAGATTGTCTTGACCATGTCTACATGCCTAAATGCACTGAGTTGCCGCCATGTGATTGGCTGCTTAGAAATTAAGTGTTAACGAGCAGTTGGACAGGTGTACCTAATAAAGTGGCCGGTGAGTGTATATTATATATATATATATTTTTTTTTACAGAAACACCAAAATGAACGTTTTCATTGGCCAAAAGGCTACAACAACAATAGTTTAATAATCAATCATATTTATTTAATAATCAACACTCAAGTGAAAATGGAATTGTAGAATTAATTTAAACATTTAAATTGCACATAAGGCAGTTCTATATTAACTTTATAATGATACTTTCTACTCTAATTCATTGTTGAAATATAAACATTTAGACATGGCTGTAATAACATGTTTTCGTGGCAGATTTATTAAAACATACATTAAATAATAAAGACAAGTTAAGTAAAAAATATAATAAATATGAAATAGTGCATATATTTATCAAAATGCTCGTCTCTATGGAGTAGTGCGATATAGCAAAAAAAAGTATCCGATATAATGTTTCATATCTATCTTTTTTTTTTAAAGACAAGTAGAAAAGTTCTTTGTTTTATATTAAGATAAAAAAGTAAGTGTTAAAGAAACTCTTGAACTTAAATAAAATGTTACAAAATGTGTTCAAAAAAAAAAAAGTGTAAACATAGAACAATCAAGGCACACTTTGAGGTAGATCAACATCTGTAATAAGTAGGGGTGTAACGGTTCACAAAATTCACAGTTCGGTTTGATTGTCACGGTTTGTACGTTTTCGATACAGCAAAAAGAAAGAAATGCCAGAGAAATTTCCTTGATTTAAAAATAATAATTTATTAAAAGAAAAATTATTTTTAAATAAGTGTGAGTGTTGAAACTTTTAGTTTAATGAATGGGGGTAATCTTTGAAGGATTAACAAATGATTTTTTGGTCATCACATTAAAAATAACATTTAAATATGATAATATTTGTGTTGTGAAGTGCTGGAAAAAGATGTTACATGTACTTGAAAGCATTTTACTATTTCTGCCAAACTTTGAATGGTTGCAGGTTAGTGTTACTACATTAAATCCATGGTGAATGTTGCTGATCTGTGGACTTAAAGCCTATTACTAGTTCATTCACGGCACAATGTTTCTCCTGGTTTCCACGTCAGCGCTGTTTGATCTAATAGAGATCTAGGGTTAATAACGGAGAAATGTGAATGCTTCTCACTAGATCTCGCAGTGATGTTATTACTTCTGTGGCAAATTCAAATGAACTAAGATCTACGGGCGAAGCGCGCACATTTTAATGAAAATATCGAGCTTTATATCGAACACTTTTATATTGTTACCGACAATGGTGTACCGTCGATAAATACCGATACCGTTTTATCGCCCAGCCCTACTATAGAGTAATTTTTTTCTTGAGTTTGTGGACATTGAATGATTTTCCTGAGGTAACTAATGTTTCGTGACATTGTTTACAAGCTGTTTTATTGACGTCTTTACGCTGTAGAAACTGACTGAGCGATTACATGATTACATATCTTTTGATGTTTATTTTGTGCTGTAACAAGTAGTAAAGTGGTAGAGATTAATTTTTGGTTTTGGACGAAATAGTTTTGTAGGGCCAAAATCAAGGACCATAGCGGTGACATTTCATTAGCGCTTCTCAGGTGGCACGTTTTAAAGGGACAGTTCACCCAAAAATGAAAAATCTGTCATTAATTACTCGCCCTCGTGACGTTCCAAACCCGTAAGACTTTTGTTCATCTTCAAAATAAAAGCCTAAATTTAATCTGTTCACCATATAAAGCGATCGAGTCTCTTCAGAAAAGTTTGGACTAAACCGCTCAATTCATATGGATTAGTTTTACGATCTCTTTATGAACTTTTTGAAGTGTCAAAGTGGTAGTTGTGAATTTAAATTTTTGGGTGAATTTTCCCTTTAAATGTGTCAGGGTCTATTTTGGTTGCCGACATTTCAGTGTCTCACTAAATAAATACTTCATTATCGTGAAAGACAATCATGATGATTTAGTTTTCGTTCTTCTACAGATCATGACACGCCCCAAAGGGGATCTGATGGTTTCCAGTTCCACCCACCACTCCCTCCTGGTTGTTCATCCTTGAGCGTTCCTCCACCTCTACCGCTGGGAACGCCTCCAAGCACACCTCCAGTTCCTAAGGGCACTCCTCCAGCAACTCCACCTACAAGTGATTCTCCATCCACCCAAGGGAGGGGAATGACGGAGGGGGAGGAGTCAGAGGATGGGCTGACTTTGGAGGAACTGGAGGAGCAACAACGGCTGCTTTGGGCAGCTCTTGAAAAGGCAGACACTACAACCAACAGTGATTCTGAAGCTGGAGCTTCTGGGACCCCCATCCCAAGTTCACCCAGTGTTGTCACTTCGCTTAAGCTTGACACCGAGAAAGAAGGAGAAAAGATGGAGGACTTGAGTCATGCTTTTGAAATCCAGAGCACACCAACTTCACCCGGTGATCCAGTAACTAATTGCGAGGGTGAGATAGGAGATAAAACAACCTGTGATGGTCAGGAAAAACATTCAGTCAATGAAAACGTGATCGATTTGAGTGATATTATCGTCCTGGATGAAATTTACGAGGAAAACGGTAATAATGACGCAACGAATGAAACTTCAGCATCTCCACAGATAAGCACACAAGAGTCGAACGCTCAAGTGGCTGATGACACGGAGGAACCTGCCATGAATAAAGTAGCTTTCGTCCCGCACCGTAGCAGATTTGCTGAGGGAATAATTCCTTTTGAGGACACTCCTGAGTTTACAGAAGTTGCTGAAGCAACGGGGGTTTACCTCAAGATTCGAGATTTACTAAAAGGCTCTCCAAGAAATCAGGCAAAAAACAAGAAATAATTCAAGTCGTCTGTTTTTACTGCCCACCTGTGTTTTTTTTCTCTTACTACAGTCCTTTTGTAAGTAGTTTTACTTTGGTGCTTTGTATCTTTTTACTGCTATCGTGTGATTTTTAAAAACACAAAAAGGTTACATTTGATTTGTACCTGAATATTAACTGACTGTGGGTACTTGATTTGTGCGCAATTTTTTTTATTGTTTTTCTTCCTGTTCAGTTTTCTGTTATTTCAGTTGTTGCTACATCTCATAGCATGCTCATTTGTCTGCCCGCCATAGATTATCTGTGTAATTTATTGTGAATATCTTTCAGCTTAATTTTCTAGAGAATTCTCACTCAATTAAAAGTTTTTAACTCGAACTTGGTAGTAAAATTAAATCATTGCACTTGAATTTTTACAGTTCTTTTATTAATGCCTGTTCTACATAATCTTAATTTTATTTTGCTTGATACCATGGGCTGTCTGAATACTTGATTCTGATTGGCTGCAAGCCATGTAATGCACCGGTAGGTCAGTTTGATCGCCGCTCTGTATTAATACGCTGCTTTTGTTGAAGCACACACACACACACACACACACAGAGAGAGATGGGAGATCGCTCTGCCCAGACCAATATGAGCACAGATTGTCAACGCTGTCCCGCGACTTTGCTACTACTTACATTATATTTCCCAGCAGCGAGATGGTGACATCGCTGCTTTTGAATTATTACACTTACCGCTATCATTAGTTAGTTGAGATGCTGCACGGATGTACTTCACACGCAAAATCGTACATCTCTGTAATTCACTCAAATAAATGTAGTCTTACCGCACAATTTTATCTCTGTGTCTGATTTAGAGCGTATGGAGCGCTGGATCTAACCAGTTGTATTTTAATGAACCCTTCCAGTCAAATTTTTCGCGTTACCAAAAACATATCTTACGATACTTTAACAGCTGAAATATCAAGATACCAAGTAACGTTAGTATCATGATACATTGCAGTACTGTGGTAATTCATAATTAAAATCAACAAAATAGACATGTATTTGTATTAGACTAGACTGTTATTTCTTAAATATACATAGATGTAGTTAAACTACTAGACTAGATTTTCCTCTGAATACTTTATAATTGAGAATGAATAACTGGCTGTTGTATCAAATAAAGTCAGTGTAAACTAATTTGCATAAATATTTTAATTAGAAATATGAAGTGTTGAAAAAATGGGAGTTGGGGTTTGGTTGGGTAAATGTACAACTTAACGACTGGAAATAAGGTGTGGCCCCTTTAAAGTCCCCATGAATTCAAAATTGACCATACTTACTTTGTTTGCCTAAATTGATCGTTTTGTGGGTAACAATTCATCCATGCAAGTCAATCCACACAAATTTTTTTTTGGGCTTTGTAATCTTTAATCAAAATCTGAAATTTCCCCTCCCCTCTGCGTTGGAGGACCTTCCCTGATGACGTAGGTTTCACGGTTTGGGTGTCTGCTTAACATCCGTAATCACGCCCCTCCAACTGACAGTAGACAGGCTGAATGAAACGCCTACTTTTCTAGATCCAATCAGGTGCTAGTTGGGAAAAAAGCCACGCCCACTATTTTGCCTCATTTAGTATTCCGTTTCTCTCGGAAATACGTCACAACACTGCAGAAAAGTCGTTTGCAACTTCCGGTTCACGGGGACTTTAAGAGCTGTGCGCTCCCTGTTGAACTGTCGGCAGTATTGTATTGTATGTGCCTTGGGCCTCGAACACACCTTTTACTGTATGCGAACACCCCATGTATGCGGGTAATTTCTGTTTGATGCTAATTTTTATCTTATTTTGTTTATTAAGTAACGATGTGGACGGTAGAACGTGTGACAGGCAGTTAGGCTACACCACGAGTTCGATTTGGGAATAAAGTGCGAGTTGTGAGATGCCAATCGCCTCCGTGTGTCTGTCTGGCCTCTGCATGCAATAACTTCAGTTGTGAGCTATCCCTAATCTTCCTGAAGCAACGCGTTACAAACTGTACTTCAGTTTCATTGCGGGGACACAACCTTCACCTGCCATCATGTCTATCGGCTCGCTTTCGGGTTAAATTTTCCGCGACTGCGCAACTGGGTTATAGGTTGCCAGGTTGAGGTGACAAACGGGTTGAAATTGTAAATGGTCTGTGGATTGTGTGAATATAATGCATTTAATACAATCTGGCAACTGGTCAACATTAGACAAACATATTGGTCCGATTATTCATAAAGGAGTTTGGGCCATGCAAATTACGGGAGTTTCCCGGGAGAAATAACAAACTGGGAGGGGTCCGGGAGATAGGGCTAAAAAACGGGAGAAACCCGGGAAAAACGGGAGTGTTGACAGGTATGCTCGTATCTCTCACGGAGGAGTGGAAGCATAAAGGAGGAGCGACGACAGTGAAGATCGAGAGAGGAACAGGCCTGAAGTTATGTTGTGTTTTGTTTTATTATGTGTTTATTATATTAAATAAACAAATACAAATTGAAAGTAAAAGACAGCAGCCCCTCACGGACGACTGCTTTTTTTTTTCCTTTCAATTTATATTTATTTATTTCATATTAAAATTGTTGAATGTTCACAGGTTCCCGCCTCCTTCTTCCCATAACATCTGAACTGCGTTACAGCAGCATTGTTGGACTATTTGCAGAAAAAAGGACACAAATGCAGCTTTCACAAAACTCAAACTGCTAAAAACCAAGTCATGTTTCTGGCTCAAACAATTGGTGCAGGAAATAGATCCATTACACAGGATCGAGCCTCTTCAGTAAAAGCCATACCTCTGCCTATTACTATTAAAACACTCCGATCATTTTTAGGAACAGCAGGTTACAGTAGACCTTGGATTGAAGACTATGCCTTGATTGTGCAGCCGCTCTATGACTTGTTGAAAGGCCATGTTAAAGATTCCGATACTGTTTGTATGGAAGAACTTCGTCTCAAAGCTTTCAATCATTTGAAGAGAGCACTATATCAAGCACCAGCATTAGGAATTGCCCAATCTGATAGACCCTTTGTGCTTTATGTCGATGAACACTTAGGCTTTATGACTGCATGTCTAATGCAAGATCATGGGGGCAGTTTACGCCCAATTCATTACTATTCTGGTAAACTTGACATAGTCGCTCAAGGTATGGGCCCATGTCTTAGAGCAGTGCAGGCAGTTCATCTAGCTCTTCAGGCTTCATCAGTAATGGTGTAAGGTCAGACTGTAAACGTAAAATGCCCTCATGCAGTGTCCGCAGTAATGAATCAAGCAAAAGTCACTTCTGTCACCTCCTCCCGTTGGGGAAATTGGTTAACTACCCTTACAGCCCCGAACATTGTTTTACAGCGTGTGCCATTCACGAACCCATCCTCATGTATGATGTCTGCAATGACTGACGTTGTGTTAGAGGATGAAAGAGAAATGACTCACAATTGTGTTACGCTTTCATACACACCTACGAGGGAAGTAAAAGAAACTCCCATAGAAAAATCCGAATTTGAGTTGTTTGTTGATGGCCTAGCTCAAGTCCTTGAAGGTAACAGACGATCAGGTTATGCAGTAACGTCCACCACTGAAGTGGAAGCCTCAGGTTGTCATCAAGTCATCTTCATTTATGAAGCAGGGCGGCAGTGGTTCAGTGGTTCATGTAGGTTGTCTACAAACCGGAAGGTTGGTGGTTCAATCCCCGGTTCCACCTGACCAAGTGTCGAGGTGTCCATGAGCAAGACACCTAACCCCAGCTGCTCCCGACAAGCTGGATGGCGCCTTGCATGGCTGACACCGCCGTCGGTGTATGGATGAGTGTATGAATGGGTGAATGTGAGGCAAATTGTAAAGCGCTTTGGTGGCCGTTGGGTCTGTGAAAGCGCTATATAAATGCAGTCCATTTACCATTTTATATTTCGCTTTTAGCGTAGATTGTTCCAAAGCGGCTTTACAGTGATAATAGAAAATTAAAGTAACAGAGATTGTTTTGGCTTTATGACAGCTCTAGAATAAAGTAATTTTCCAGCTAAAGTTAGTTTTGATTGATTCACTTCCGTCGCAACGATCATTAGTTATTAACTTAGGGGCCGCTTACAAAACACCGTTTTAAAAACGCGAAAGAACGCTGATGCACATTCGTATTAAGAGTTCATTTTATAGGTATGCCTGTTTGAATATATGTGCACATGTAGTCCTTACCTAAAAAAACAACCCTCAACAAACTAATTGTCTGGTCTTAACATTTATAATACAGAATTTTACAACAATTATCTGTACAGAGGTAAAGGGAAGGAGGCCACAGGGGAGGGACTAGTTGATACATCAGGACTGCGTTGTCGTCGCATCCAGACGCAGGTCCGTCATCAGATCTGGATACGGCCTTGGATCCGGCGGACTGCGGTAAACCTTGGGATAAACAGAGAGACTAATATTAGCGTAGATGCCATTCTTCTTATGATGTAACTAACGAGTACATCAGGATTTATGGGAAGTGTTCCCGGTCCCGGCTGACCTAATCTATGCAGCCTAACATAGAAGTCTATAGTGTGTTATGTGTATGCTAGGTCAAAGAGATGTGTTTTTAGTCTAGCTTTGAACTGACAGAGTGTGTCTGCTTCCCGGACAATGTTAGGAAGACTGTTCCAAAGTTTTGGTGCTAAATAGGAAAAGGATCTACCGCCAGCAGTCGATTTTGATATTCTAGGTATTATCAACTGGCTGGAATTTTGAGATCGCAATAGACGTGAAGGACTATAATGCTTTAAGAGCTCGCTCACGTTCTGCGGAGCTAAACCATTTAGTGCTTTGTAAGTAATCAGCAATATTTTAAAACGTATACAATGTTTAATAGGGAGCCAATACAGTGTTGACAGAACCGGGCTAATATGGTCATACTTCCTGGTTCTGGTGAGAACTCGAGCTGCTGCGTTGTCTTCCAGATCATTTTTCAGCTACAAGCTGCAGAACTAGTAGCCTTAACTAGAGCATGCATGGCACGCTAGCTTCAGGATCTGTTGCAAAAATCTACACAGATTCCAGGAACTTAGAAGGGT